AACAATTAATTGATTAAAAATTGAATGGTTGAGATGAGGGTTGTATAGGGTGTAGGAATGGCAAAGGGTGTAGAATAACATCCCTCTCTCTATATATATATATATATATATATATATATAAATACAACCATGTCAATTTATACAACCAATTTAATCTAATCAATTGAGATATTTATGAAAATAATGAGAGTTTATTTATTATGATTTAAATATTTATGGTAGATGAATATGATTCATTAATTATGATCAATACTTTATATTAGAAAACAATCAAAATTTCTATAAAATCAAATATTAATCAAATGAAATGAACAGTTGAGATTGAGTTATATTGGTTGCACAAATGTAAAGAGTTGCATAATAACTCATCTCTCTCTCTCTCTCTCTCTCTCTCTATATATATATATATATATAAACATCTTTAAATTCAACCAACTTAAAGGATACAACTATTACAACCAAGGATGTTTGGTCCCTTATAAAATTCGTATTTTTAGGAATAATTCAGATTTTTCTTAGAAAATATTAATTTTTTAAATATCTTATTCGGTTACCATATGTAACTGACTCTGTATTTTTAGGGATGATACAAATTTTTCCTAAAAATTATTAATTATTAATAAATGAATTGTTTATAACAGTAATACAAGAACAATTCATAATCATTCATAACTTTAATACAAAAATAATTCATAACCATATAGAAAAAAGAATCATTTTTTCATGTATGAAACAACATGAAAAATGATCCACATATGAAAAAATTCATCACCTTTTCATCTTCGTCACTTTTTCACGAACGAATTCACGATCTCAGGGATGAAAGCTCCTGATAATTTATGTTCTCCGACCACCCATGTTGCTTCTTTTTGGGTGCCAGCTTCACCATACTCGATCCTTGTGGCGTTCAACGAACAAAGAGAGAGAGAGAGAGATGAAGGTGGTCGGTGGTTGTGGATTTACCGACGATGGCCGGTGGTTGTTGATTTATCGGCATTGGCCGGTGGTTTGGGGTTTACCGACGAGAGAAAAAGAAAGAGAGGGAATAAGATAATTAGGGAACTAATTATAAAGATAAATATGGTTTCAAAATTCAAAATCTAAAATAATTAAAATATATTACAAAACTACATATTTTCTATTTTTTAAAATCAATTAAATTTTCAAAAAATCTCAACCTTTGATCAAGAGAATAAAAGGTCAAAATTAGGTTGTAACGGTTGTACGATTTAATTTCATTGTTTAATCTTATGAAAATTTTTCATTAAATTGTTTAATCTTGTGATATTGTTTCATATAACACTTTTTTTTATGAAGTTGTTTATATATGGTCATGAAATTTTAATGAAACTGTTTCATGTAATTCTTTAAAATTAAAATAATGAAGATGATAATATTCATGATTAACACCTTCCACAACAAAAATGATTAATCAACCTCTTATCTTACAATTACAAAAAAATGAACAAAAAGAAAAATTATGATTGGTTGAATGAGGTTTGTATGGTTTGTACAAATAACATGGTTTGTAAAATAAACCTCATCTCTCTCTCTCTCTCTCTCTCTATATATATATATGTATTATTTTTCATTTTGAATGTACAAAATGAATTTTATTAAAATATTTAGCTGAAGACAAACATGTCAAATGGTTTAAAATTCTCTTTAACGTTTACGATATTTTATTTTATAAAAAAGTTTTAGGAAAATGGACAATAAACTGATACATCAACTCCAGTAAATATTTTATAAAAAAGTTTTAAGTTTCTTTTTGTTGATTTTCATAGACCTTTTTTTTCCATTTTTTTGGTTAATGTTTCTTATTTATACTATATAATAAAGTATTTGACAAAAACTTTTAAAAACCATTTTTATACATAAAGTACTGTTTAC